CAGTCTGTCTGGGCGGCCTCTCTCCCTCGCAGATTATTTCCCCCACGACACATTTCTCCTTTCGCTTATGTCTAAATCCCTCCCCCCCTCCCTCACTTTGTATTTCCACCTCTCATTCTCCCTCATTTAACCCTCCCTCTCCGCCATATCTAACCCCCTCTCCCCCCATCCATACACCACCTATCTACTACATCGTACCCCTCTCCGCACTTGAAACCCTCCCTCTCCCCCACATCTATACCCTCTCCCCCACCCCTACCCCTACTTCCTCTCCCCCACCCCTACCCCCTACTTCCTCTCTCCACATGAAACCCTCCTCTCCCCCACCCCCCCCACCCCTCCTCCCCCACATGAAACCCTCCTCTCTCTCCCCCACACCCCTCCCTCCCCACCCCCCCTCTCTCCCACCTGAAAGCCTCCCTCTCCCCCCTCCCCCCCCCACACAACCCCATCGCAACTAACCCCCTTTCCCTCGTCCTCCGCAGCTCGCCCTGGGCGCCCTCCCTCTCGCGGTCGAAGACGTAAACAACGACCACAACCTCCTCCCGGGGAAGCGCCTCGTCTTCGAAGTCGCCGACGTCGGGAACAGCAACCTGGAGGCGCTGGCGGCGTTGTCCATCAGGCGCATGACGACCATGAGGGACAAGGGCCACCTGGTCTTCATCGGGCCCGACGACAACTGCGCCAACGAGGCCCTGGTGGCGGCCGCCTGGAACCTGCCCATGATCACCTACGTGAGTTGGAGTTGCGCCGTTGGGATGCTCTTGTTTTGATTCCCCTTGCTTTCATTTGTTATCATTATTGTTATTATAATGATCATGATGATTATGATGGTAGTAATGGTCATGATGATAATGATAATAATGGTAATACTAATAATGATAACAATGATAATAATGATAATGATAATGATATTTATAATAATAATGATGATGTAATAATGATGATGTAATAATGATAATCATGATATTTTTTATCATTATTATCGTCACATCTATCATTGTCGTTTTAATATCAATGTTAAAATTATTGTTGATATCATTATTGTGGTCATTATTTTCGTTACTATGTATTTCCATGTTTATCTTCAAATTTACGTGCATTGTTACATTTATAAAAGAAGCATTTTTATCATCTTCGTAAACATGAAAGTTATATGACGTATTTGATCAGAATTTCAGGAGAACAAATATCAAATCATAAAAAGGAAAAAGGTGATGCCCGATAAAAAGTAATTGGAAGGAACACGTTGAGAAGATATAACGAAAGGAAGGGATACGATAATAAAAGAGGAGAAGGGAAGGGGAAAATAAAGGGGAAAAGAGAAATGTTAAAAGCAACGCAAGATTAATGATGATGACGAGGAGGGAGTGATAGGAGGGAAGGGAAGAAATGGAGGGGAAAGAGGGGAGAGGGAGAAGGTGGAGGAGGAAGAATGAGAGGAGGAATAGGAGAGGGAAGGGAGAAGAAGGTGGAGAAGGAAGAATGAGGGAGGAAGAAGAGGGGTAAGAGGGGAGAGGGAGAAGGTGGAGGAGGAAGAATGAGAGGAGGAATAGGAGAGGAAAGGGAGAAGAAGAAGGTGGAGAAGGAAGAATGAGGGAGGAAAAAGAGAGGGAAAGAGGGGAGAGGGAGAAGGTGGAGGAGAAAGAATGAGGAGGAGAGCAGGGGAGGAAAGGGAGAGGAAGAAGGTGGAGAAGGAGGAATGAGAAGGGGAATAGGGGAAGAAAGGGAGAGGAATAAGGTGGGGAAGAAAGAATGGGAGGGAGGATAGAGGAGGAAAGGGAGAGGGGGAATGTGGAGGAGGAAGAATGAGTGAGAAAAAAGACGAGGAAAAGGAGAGGGAGAAGGCGGGAGGGGGAAACAGAAGGATAAAAACAAAACGAACAAGGGAATAAGGGAGAATAGGAAAAACGGAAAGGAAAGAGGGGAAAAAAGAAAAGGAAGGAAGGAAGGAGGGGAGAGAGGAGAGGGGAATAGGGGAGAGAGGAAAGGGAAGAGGGGAGAAAGGAGACGGAAAGAGGGGGAGGGGGCTACCTGATACCGTGAGACCTTCTTGTCTTTGGTTCGCATCCGGGACAGCAGGAGGGGGAGGGGGGAGGAGGGAGGGGAGTTGGAGCCGACGAGGGGGTTGGAGTGGAGGGCGAGCTCTCTCTCTCCCTCCCTGTCTCGCTCCCTTCCTCCCTCCCTCTCCTCTCTCTCCATTCTCTCCTAGGGCCTAGAATCTGTCTGTCTGTCTGTTTGTCTGTCTGTCTGTCTGTCTGTCTGTCTGTCTGTCTCTCTATCTCTCTCTCTCTCTCTCTATCCCTCTCTCCTTCTCCCCCCTTCTCTCTCTTTCCATGTCTCCCTCCCTCCCTCCTCCACCCTCCCTCTCGCTCTCTGCCATTTACTTCTTCCTCTCTCTTACCCTCCACCCTCCATTTCCCCCCTTCCTCTCTCTTACCTCCTCACCCTCCATTCCCCCCCTTCCTCTCTCTAATTCCTTGTCTCCCTCCCTCCCATTCTCTCCTCTCTCTCTCTCCATCTCTCCCGTTCCCCTTTTCCTCTCTCTTACTCTCCACCCTTCCATCTCCCCTTCTCTTCTCTTTCACTGTCTCTCCTTCCCTCTCTCCCATTCTCTCCTCCCTTCTCTCTCATCTCATTCTCTCTCTCCCTCTCTCTCTCCATCTCTCCATTCTCTCTCCTCCTCTCTCTATCTCTCTCCCATTCTCTTCTCCCTCTCTTCTCTCTTCTTCTCTCCTCTTCTCTCTCTCCGACACCAAAGAAAGAGGAAGGAAGTAAACTGATATATGATGATAAGAAAGCGTAATAGCGGAAAGTACGTAATAAAGAAGGGTGGATGAGGGACCGTGTGTGTAAGAGAGCGAAGAGGGGAAAGGAATGGAAGGAGAGAGGAAGGAAGGAAAGAAAGAAAGAAAAAATGTCAGGGAAGAAAGGAGGAATAGAAGGAAGGGAAGAAAGAAAGAAAGAAAGGAAAGAAGAAGGAAAAATGGAAGGAGATAGGAAGGAAGAAAGGAAAGAAAAATGACAGGGAAGAAAAGAGAATTGGAAAGAAGGAAGGAAAGAAAGAAAGACAGGAAGAACGGAGGATGAAAAAGACGGAAGAGGGGAGAGAGGAATGGAAGGAGGTAGGAAGGAAGGAAGGAAAGAAAGACAGGGGAGAAAGGAGGAATAGAAGGAAGAGGAAAAAAGAAAGAAAGACAGGAAGAAAGGAGGATTAGAAAGAAGGAAAAGAGAGGAAGAAGGGAGGAGGAAACAAAGAAAGACAGGGAAGAAATGAAAATTAGAAAGATGATAAGAAAGAAAGAAAGATTGATAGGGATGAAGGAAGAAAGAAGAAAGACGGAAGAGAAAGGGGGAAGAGGAATGAAAGGAGCGAGGAAGGAAGGAAGGAAGGAAAGAATAAAAGAAAGACAGAAATGAGAATTAGAAGGAAAGAAAGAAAGAAAGACAGGAAGAAAAGAGGATTAGAAAGAAGGAAGAGTAAAAGAGGAGACGAATGTAAGAAGATAGAAAGGAATGAAAGTTAGAAAGAAAGAAAGACTGGGAAGAAATGATAACTAGAAAGAAGAAAAGAAAGAAAGAAAGACAGGAAAAAATGAGGATTAGAAAGAGGGGAGAGGAATGGAAGGGGATAGGAAGGAAGAAAAGAAAGAAAGATAGAATGACAGGGAAGAAATGAGAATTAGAAAGAAGGAAGTGGGGAAAGGAAAGGAAGCAGAAAGGAAGGAAGGAAGGAGAGAAAGAATGACGGGGAAGAAAAGAGAATTAGAAAGAAGAAAAGACACGAAGAAAGGAGGATTAGAAAGACGGAAGAGGGGAGACGAATGGAAGCAGATAGGAAGGAAGGAAGGAAAGAAAGACAAGGAAGAAAAGAGGATGAAATAAAGTTAGAAAGAGGGAAGAGTAAGAGGGAAAAGGAATGGAAAGAGATAGGGAAGAAAGGAAGAAAGAAAGACAGGAAGGGAAAAAAAAAGAAAAATAGTAAAGAAAGAAAAAGAATAACATCAAGAAATGGCGATTAGAAAGAAGGAAAGAAAGAAATATAAGAAAGTAAACTGAAAATAAAACAGAATAAAAACATCATTAATGAAAAAAAGTTAAAAGGAGGAAGAAAGGGAAGATAGGAAAAAAATAAGGAAAATGATGGGAAAAAAATTCAGGGAATAAAGATGGATAACGAATCAAATATAAGACAGGAAAAGTTAGAAAAGATCGGGGGAAGTAAAGAGAAACGTAAAATAATACACGGAAGAAGGAAAGGAAAATTCAAGAGAGAAAAGAAGACATAAAGAAGAGAGGAACCAAAAGATATGAAGAATAAAAGTATATGAAAAACAATAGGATAGAGAATGAGGTGGAGAAAGAGAGAGAGAGAGAGAGAGAGAGAGAGAGAGAGAGAGAGAGAGAGAGAGAGAGAGAGAGAGAGAGAGAGAGAGAGAGAGAGAGAGAGAGAGAGAGAGAGAGTGAGAGAGAGAGAGAGAGTGAGAGTGAGAGAGAGAGAGAGAGAGAGAGAGAGAGAGAGAGAGAGAGAGAGAGAGAGAGAGACGAGAGAGAGAGAGAGAGAGAGAGAGAGAAGAGAGAGAGATAGAGACAGAGAAAGAAAAGATAGACAGTGAAGAACAGAGACAGAGACAGAGAAAGAGAAAGAAGATAGACAGAGAAAACAAAGACACAGAAAGAGGGAGAAAGAGAAACACACAAAAGGGGAACGGGCGAACGAACGAAAGGAGAGAGAAGAGAAGAGAAGACAAACAGACAAAAAGAAACTGAGCGAAAGGGAGAGGGAAAACAAACAAGAAATTTGAGATTGTGTGTTATGCACGATCATTATTTCCTAATTGTTTGGCTACAGTTCGATGAGGGAAACAGACAGATTCCGAAATGTCTTGCTAATAAGGTTATCATCGTTGTGTTCTCATTATCATTACCGTCATCATCATTATCATTGTCATTATCATTAGCACTACCATCACCATCATTATTATTACCGTCATTATCATCATCATTATCATTATCATTGCCATTATCATTATCATCCATTATCATTATCACATTATCATTATCATCATCATCATCATTACCATACCGTTATATCACATCATTATCCCTATCATTATCTATTATCATCATAAACGTTATCATTATTAAAATTATTACGATTATTGTCATTATTGACACAATTTAGCTGTTTATCTATTTTTTTTATACGTTTATTTTTTGCATTTATTTCTATCTATTTATATTTTAGTTCTATTTGTCTGCATATATGAGCATAACTTTATCTAATTTCCTTTTTATCAATATATCATACCGTCTATCTAATTATACCTGTATCCACGTGAAAATCTATTCAATTATTTTTTATTAAAGGTGATTATATTGAATTTTAATATTTTATTTCTCATCTTGCATTGGAAAATCTTCAATCTGCATAGAAAGAGAGAGAAAAGGGGAAAAATGCAGCACAGAATATACATACATACATACATACATACATACATACATACATATATATATATATATATATATATATATATATATATATATATATAATATATATATATATATATATATATATATATATATATATATACTATATATATATATATATATATATATATATATATATATATATATATATATATATATATATATGTATATATGTGTGTTGTGTGTGTGTGTGTGTGTGTGTGTTGTGTGTGTGTGTGTGTGTGTGTGTGTGTGTGTGGTGTGT